ACAGGCTGGAAAACCCACAGGTCCACACCTATCCCTGGGAAGCTAGCGTGGAATGAGGTGAGAGCACAGGCACATAATCAGTCTTCTACCTGGGGCACTACGGGGACTCTGCGGACAGGTGTCCTCCAATGGCACTTTAACACCCCAGGTGGGCCAAGAAACATTCTCCCCTGCCCTTAGTTCAGGTCCAAGTACCCCTCCCAAGTTAAGCAGTAATGGAAGACCAGGCAAGGAGTAAATGCAGGATAAAGGTGTCTGAGGAAAGAGAGGCTTGAAAAGGACTCCTGATGACTCTTCCTGCCCAGACCCACTCATCTTCTCTCCTGTAACATTGACTCTTTCAACAACCACCAGGTACCCACTCTCATCCTTGTGCCTCAGAGCCAGCAGGGTCCATCAGTACACTTTCCCTTCATGGCTACAATGATCACTTGAACCTAGATATGTATCTGGTTTGGAGCAGTGAGAACCAAATCTGGGGTGCTCTCAGCAACAGGGAGTGCTGTCCACCAGTAACTGGGGCTATGGGGTTACACTATGGAGCTCGAAAATGAAACCAACTCACAAGAAAACACGGGAGAGAGCCAGACAGAGATGGATCCCTGAGGACACCGTTCTGAGTCCTGGGATCCAGCTCAAAGCCCTGTCTAGCCGTGGCCTTCTCGGCTATGTGAGCCAATAAATCTTCTACCCTAAGCCAACTGGAGAGTTAAGTCAAGGTCTTTTCCACCTGCCTTTTTCAAGAACAAAGAAACTAACTTTTTATAAAAATAACTGTATGGTGACAGACTATCCCTGGGGAGAGCTGCCATGGAGACAGAGTCCAGGTGGGGACTCCTAGACTACACATCATGTCCACTACTAAATTTTTGTCTTGTTTTTTAAGACAGGGTCTCGCTATGCAGTTCAGGTTGGTCTTGAACTCACTAATAGACTACACTGGCCTTGAACTTGAGACAATCCTCCTGCTTCAGCTTCCCGAGTGCTGGGATTATAAGTGCCACCATGCCTGGTTAGTGTTAGTACACTTTCAAAACAATACAGTTACAGCTATTTTAATGTTTATGGTAGATACTGTTTTTGATTGAATAATTACAATGGTTTGGTAACAAACTATTAGAGAAAAGGTCATAACCCAGATTGGGTTGTCACAGGGCCAAATGCCACTGGCCACATGATTGATCCAAGAGATCTGGGACTTACTACAAGTCACTAAGCACTTTCTTTGGGATTTGCAAGACTAAAACTAGAAAGGAAGAAACTTTTCTTTTAGGGTTACTCCTATGGCTTATATCTAGGTGCCTCCCAAAGCCTCATGCAGTCATAGGTGGGGATTTTCAGAGGTGGCTGGATCTAGGGCATGTGATGCTGGGATTAAGGGTGTGTTATTGCTAAAGTAATCCATTGATTGGCTTGGCATAGTTCTGGGTAGAACTAAGGGTACCCCAGCCTAAAAAGTCAGGTACCCTGGGAGGGATAAAATGGAGAGGCAGTCTGTCGCTTTGCTGTTTTGCTACCTTCTGCCTACCAAGAACTGTTTCTGCTTCTGTGATGCTCCTCTGCTATGCCACCCTGCCTATGTCTTCACTACTCGGTAATAGAGAAATGAACTTCTATCTGTCCAGGACACTGTATTTTCATGATCTTTTTATTATAGTACCTTAGTCTGTCTTTTTACTAATGTACAGGTAAAAAAGATACAAAAACCCCAATGGGGTATACATCTTAGTTGTCCCTGCAATAATAAATTATTACTTAGAGTGCTAAATGCCAAGAACTGTCCTTAATGTTTACACAGAACCTCATTTAATCCAATTCAACTTTCTGAGGTGCTATTGCTATTCCCATTGTACAGTTTAGTATACACAGCAAAGGAAAATTAAGTCACTTGCCCAGGTTCGCTAACATCCACTCTCCCTCCCCGCCTACACACACTGCTTCAGGCTGGACTTCTGTCACTGCCACTATCATTCTAACTGGACTTTTGTTTAATGCAGTTTGCACATTCCTCTACCGAGTACCAACCAAATGGTTCCAAGTTTTAAGCCACCATTTAATGGCTGCAAGAAGTACTATTCTCCTGGGAAACTTGCTGCCGTATAATCATCAGACCACAACCGGAGCTGCAAGACAAGGCACAACGCAAACAGACATCCTAGAGGGGACACCAGCCTTCCTGCCTGGGGCAGACACTGTTGGATGGCTCACCCAATATCCGTCCTCTACCTCCTTTTCCTTGTCTGCCCAAGAAAGCAAAATACTTACTTTCTTAAGCTTCCTGGCCAGATACACAATTTTGGAAAATTAAAGGTATCACAACATAAAGAGATTCCAGCACAGTAGTTAAAAGAATAGGCTTGAGAGCCAGTATGTGTGGATTCACTGTCATGTGAGTGGTACAAATCTGCTAGTCTACATAACCTCTGCTCCTTGAGGATAATAACTGTATCTTACAGTTAATTGTGAGAACTGAAGAAATCAATAAATGCAAAGAACTCACAAGTACTGATATATGGTAAACTCTCTGTGTTAGCAATTGGTATTTTTTTTATCACATTATCAGTACAAATATGGACTCATCTCCAAGACATATTAAGTAAAAGAAGCAAGATATGGAACAGCACACATAGTGTACTCCAAACTGCATGGATAAAAAGAGAATTTTGAATATATCAATAAATTGCTTGTGCATGCACAGTCTATCTCTGGCAGCACTAAAGAAAAACTTCACCAAGGTTGTGTCTGGGACATAGAACATGGAACTAGGATTCTGGATTAGGAAAATCTACTTCATTTACATCTCCCTTCTCTACTTATTGGATTAGATTTTTGAAATTATGTGAATTCCTTAAAGATTTAAAAATTATGCCTGTCTACCAAACAAAACAAAACAAAAAAAAGTAAGTTTTTTAAAAAGCTAAAAAAAAATGTTGGGTATGGGGATACACACCTGAATCCACAAGTTCAAGCCCAGCCTGGGCAATTTAGTGAGACCTTGTCTCAAAATTTAAAAATTTAGAAGGGCTGGTGGCTGGGCATGGTGGCACATGCCTGTAATCTCAGCATTCAGGAGGCTAAAGCATGATCTCCCTGAGTTCAGGCCAGCCTAGGCTACACAGTGAGTTTGAGGCCAACCTGAACTATCCATGTCAAAAAACGAGGCAGACAGATAGGCAGAGAGAGAGTGCACTAGGGGATGTAGCTTAATGCAAAGGCCCTGGATTCAATCCCCAGTACTGGAGGAAAAACAACTACAACAACACTTCTTCTTAATTTCAGTTATTTACCAACAAAAGATACAGTCAACTTGCAAGAAGTGGCAAGCCTCCTTTCAGAAGCATTTTAGTACACACGGGGTCTGTCAGACAAGCTCTGGAAGATGTAGCTGTACTAAACTGTACAATGGGAACAGCAGTAGCACCTTAGAAAGCATCTAAATGCTAATTCCAAGCTCCAGTTTTGGTGGCACAAAAGGAAAAAGACCCTGGGGAGATGTCTGTACATGATCAAGAAGAATCATGACCATCAGAATGCTGGTATCAGACAAGACACACAGGAGCTGCATTCCAAAGATGAGCCTGTCTCATCTTTCCAGGACAGAGCCAAGAACACAAGCTGTGAAGCCAGATAGACATGGTGGGACTCCTAGATCAGCATTTCTTCACCATGTAAACCGGACAGAGCTATCTAATGTCTTTTGAGTTTTTCTCTCTCTCTCTTTTTTTTTTTTTTTTT